AAGAACATTTTCTACACTCTCTCTTATGCAACAGGCTTTAAAGGGGACATCGGATGCCCATTTTCCACAAGTTGGTATGATTCATACTTTGGTTAAAATTCCTTAATGGTCGTGTAAAACAACACCCTCTTTACCTGAGCAATAAACCAGAGGCCTGAACAATATGATGTCACACTGCTCAGAAAATCAAAACGGCTTGATAAATGAGACTGTTTAGGTTTTTGGGGGATAAAAAAAAAGGAGTGAATGGATTTTTATCATTGTAGGCATGTAAAAGTCAATTTTCCATCCGATGTCCCCTTTAACAACATTAAGACTTTTCCATACATAAATTGTCTTATCCAGGGTGACCATATGTCCTCATTTTGATTTCTAAATTGTCTGAAATGTCTGGGTTTTGGCTTTGTTTTTCTATTGACGTTCTCTCTACAGTCCTCATACATAATATGTGACCCTGGACCACAAAACCAGTCTTAAGTGTCAATTTTGAAAAATTGAGATTTATACATAATCTGAAAGCTGAATAAATAAGCTTTCCATTGATGTATGGTTTGTTAGGATCGAACAATATTTGGTCGAGATACAACTATTTGAAAATCTGGAATCTGAGGGTGCAAAAAAATCAAAATATTGAGAAAATCATCTTTAAAGTTGTCCAAATTAAGTTCTTAGCAATGCATATTACTAATCAAAAATTAAGTTTTGATATATTTACAGTAGGAAATTTACAAAGTATCTTCATGGAACATGATCTTTACTTAATGTCCTAATGATTTTTGGCATAAAAGAAAAATCGATAATTTTGACCCATACAATGTATTTTTGGCTATTGCTACAAATATCCCCCGGCGACTTGAGACTGCTTTTGTGCTCCAGGGTCACATATGTGTGTGTATTTGCATTGCTTCGAACATAGATCCCGCCTTCTCGCACGCCACGATTGGACGATTATCTACATTGTTTGCATGCTATTGGTCAAACTACTTAGACAAGACATCAGTCTCACTTTTCAGATTCAAATTAGATCAATCTATGATGTATTCATGTATCCGTCTTAAAAAAAATAAATAAATAGATAACTAACTTGTAAGACTAGTCTAAGCAATTTACACAAGCAGCCAGCTCATGTTAGTATGGAAGCTTATTTCCGCCACAGAAAAAAAATATTCAGAAGGTAATTGTGACTTTTTATCTCACAATCCAGACTTTTTTCCCTGAGTTTATATTTCACAATTTGTTTTTCCTCGAGTGTATATCTGCAATTCTGACTTTTTCTCAGAAATGCGATTTTATGTCTTTTATATTCAATAATATGAATTATCCTGCAAGAGGCTTCATTTTTAACATTAATGAAAATCATTCTATCTAGACACAATTTTTTTAATTGAAAATCGGTATAAATTGTGACCCTGGACCACAAAACCAGTCATAAGGCTACATTTTTCAAAATTGGGATTTATACATCACCTGAAAGCTGAATAAATAAGCTTTCCATTGATGTATGGTTTGTTAGGATAGGACAGGCTGAGATACAACTATTTGAAAATCTGGAATCTGAGGGTGCAAAAAAATTTAAATATTTTTACAGTAGGAAATTTACTAAATATCTTCATGGAACATGATCTTTACTTAATATCCTAATGATTTTTGGCATAAAAGAAAAATTGATAATTTTGACCCATACAATGTATTGTTGGCTATTGCTACAAATATACCCCAGCGACTTAAGACTGCTTTTGTGCTGCAGGGTCACAATTAAAGTGCCTCTGTTATGCTATTTGAAAGGTTCATAATTTGGTTCTGTGAGTCCCCAACAACAGGTTTACATGCATGCAAGGTCAAAAATTCATAATTTGGTTCTGTGAGTCCCCAACAACAGGTTTACATGCATGCAAGGTCAAAAAACACTTTCATTTTCTTATAATATGCATTTAATTTTACGTTATTTCTCAACGACTCTCAAATGATTCGTTCGAAGATTCATCTTTCCAAACTCCTCCTTTGCATAATGTTACTCTGCTCTGATTGGTCCGATGACCCTGTTGTGATTGGTCTACTGCGTACAGCGCATGTCAGAAAAGGAACGACTCGTTTCAGCGGTTCAGAGTCGACTCTTTCTTTTGAGACAAAATAACTTTATTTATGATGCACTTTCAGCTTTACAACTTTGCAGACTGTTTACATTCACATACAGCTGCATTACACACTGCATGAAATGTAATTTTCAAAAATCCATAATAGAGGCACTTTAATTCAGTGTAAGAATACTGTCATAATGGACCAATACTTACTGTATAAATAAAAATTTATTTATTTGTTTGTTTCTGTTTTATATTAATTAATATTCATACAATAGTTTTCATTTTCTTCATGCAAAATATAACTTCATCTTTTTTACATGAATGAAAACCATCCTATGCAGACGCACCTTTTTTTATTTAAAATAAGCATGAATTTAATTGTATAAATACTGCCATAATGTATACTTCAGAATCTATTTATTTAATTTTATATTCAATAATGTTAATTATCATACAATAGGCATCATTTTCTTCATGCAAAATATAATTTCTTCTTTTTCATGAATTAAAACCATTCTATGTAGACACACAATTTTTTTTAAATAAGCATGAATTAAATTAATTGCACAAATACTGTCATAATGCATACTTCAGAATCTATTCATTTATTTAATTTTATATTCACAAATATGAATTATCATACAATAGGCTTCATTTTCTTCATGCAAATTATAATTTCTTCATTTTTTCCTTTTGTCTCTGAGGTGCAATATGATCTAGACATGCTGTTGACATGTTTTGTGAAATTCACCCGGTGTTTAATGCTTACAAACTGAAAGGATGTCGAAATGTCTGGCTCACGTCACTGGTGTAAATTAACTGGTCTGGTATCATCTGACTAGCTGGCGATAATAACCAGATGCACATTCAAATCTTCTCCGCTTGGCTCTGGCGTCCCGTGAGGATATGCAGGATGGAGATTGCGGGAGATGGTCTGTCATTTATTCGGTTCCCTACACGTCCAACAACAGGAGGAGATGGCGGCTGACAGCCAACGGGAATCAGGCCAGCCGTTAGAGGGATTACACTCGTCTGCTTAATTTGACACACACATTTTGCTCAACAAAGAGTTTGGCTGGTCTGCGTCTTTGTGCCGGGATGAGAGAGATTGTGAGCTAATGATAGCCTGAGCGTTGATGCTAAATATGCAAAGCGGGCGAATATGATACAGAACACAAAAGATCTTTGACATGAACGGGCTGCTCCTGCTATAGGCTCTTATTAGCCTGTCTTCCCACTCGCGTAATAACATGCTGACACATGTATTTGCCACATAACTGCCATCAAATCACTGTTTTGGGCATAAGGAAAAGGGTTTGCGTGCATCACTTGTCACGTGGGGGTTTTAGTTTGCTGTTGGGTTTGTGCTTGCATAATTAAGAATGTATTTACTCATATTAAATGGTATTTTAAAATGCTTGTGCAGAAACAAAGAGCTGTTATCATGATCTCACCCTCAGAAAACAATTACTAAACGGAGCAGAAAAAGCTCAAACTTCAGGGACCAAACCGTGATTCGTAAGAAATGCTAACTTGCAGTGAAGATTTGTTTTTGACTTGGCACCACTGTTTATTGGCGATTGATAATACCATGAGGATTTGAATATTTGCACACATTTTTTCAACTTGCTATGGTGGTGGCCATGTTATTTTCAGACAATACCATGGATTTACCATCACTGTACCACATCCAGAGATGATCAGTGTATGTTAATCGATGTCTCTAACATACGGAAACTTATTTCTGCCACTGAATAAAAATATAAATATATTCTTTTTATTAAAAAAAATACACTTTTTTTATTTAAAAGTTTATAAAAGTATACTTTTTATCTCACAATTCTGACCTTTTTCAGACTTTTCTTCTTAGAATTTTGTGTTGTATTTATGTGATATTTGCATTATTTGTAATTGAGTTTTTGCCATGAAAATAGCCCCAGATGCTGACATGGCATTAAATAAAATTATACTACTACTGCAGTCAGGTGTCTAGAATTTTGGAAAAAATAAATTGAATTTCAAGACGTAAACTCGCATTTCTGAGAGAGAAAGTCAGAATTGCAAGATATAAATAAATAAATAAATAATAAATCATGTATCTGGACAGGATGGTTTTCATTATTGTGATAAAAGTAAAAAAAAAATAAATAATAAAAATAAAAATAAAAATGAAGCCTCCTGCAGAATAATTAACATTATTGAAATCAAAAAGCTAAATGAATAAATAAATTCTGAAGTATTCATACATTATAGCAGTATTTATACGCTGAATTGAATTCGCTGATTTAAAAATAAATAAATAAATAATAAATCATGTATCTGGATAGGAGGATTTTCATTAATGTGATAAAAGCAAAAAAATTATATTTGTACACTGAATTTAATTCATGCTGATTTTAAATAAAGTGTGTGTCTGGATAGGATGATTTTAATTAATTTATTACAGTAATACGCTTTTGTAAAAATTTTTAATTGTACAAAATTGCACAAATTGCTCCGAAAAAAGTTTTTTTAATATATATTATATTATATTTTTTCATTCTCTTTATGCACATATTAAAATATTATGCATATATTACAAACATATTTTTAATATAATATATTAATATATAATTCAACATAATCAATAATAATAGAGCTGCTGCATATTATACTTATACAATAAGGATTCACTATCAAGGGACAATGTATAGTGTTATTTGCCTGAAAGCACGATTCAGAGAGACACTGACAGCAAATGTGAGGAACAGAGATGTCCTCTCTATATAAATCAAAACTGAAACCTAGAAAACTAGAGAAAGCATCTACATTTCCAGCTGAGACGTCTCTGGATCTCCATGAAGAAATGGCTCCCCCCTGTGTCAGCAGAAATAAAGTGGTCTTAATTAATGCCGGACGTCTGTGTTGCGTGTTACTCACCGTACTGGGCTTCTCTCTCCTGCAGCTCCAGTTTGATCTGGTTGTGTTGCTCCTTCATGCGGCTCAGATCCCGTCCACTTCCTGTGCTCAGTGCCTGCAGCTTCCTCTTCAGCCCCTCCAGACGATCTCTCTCGCCGTACACGCTCCTGATTTCTGCCTTCAGTTCCTTCGCGCTGCTGAAGTCATTTCCTGCGGCGAGAACCAAACACAGAAGCAGAATATTAGACGAAAAACAGCAAAACTATTCGCCGAAACATTAAAATTTCAGAAAGCCACCAGAAATAATAGAACTATTTATACTGCATACTGTTTTCAGCATACTATGAATTGACATACTAAAAACTCACATACTAAATAATACAGATAGCATGCAATTTAAGAAGCAGTCTGAGATTTAAAAGAGACACTGTCAAATCTTTACTACATTTTTTTTTTTTCAAGTTGTTAGGTGGTTGCCAGGGTGTTGCTATGCAGTTGCTAGGTTGTAGCTAAGGTATTTCTAAGTGCTATTTGGAGTTGTATGCAAAAGATTAATACTTAGGGTTTGGGGAAGTATATGTAATAGTTATAGTGATGCTTGACTTAGTAAACATGATTAATTACGAAATAAAAGTATACGAGTGTTCAAAACATTGGGGTTAGTAGGATTTTTTTGTGAAAAATTAACTTTTTCATTCAGCAAGGATGCATTAAATTGATTAAAAGTGACCGTAAACATTATGTTACAAAAGATTTCTATTTCAAATAAATGCTGTTCTTTTGAACTTTCTGTTCATCAGAGAATCCTGAAAAATAAAATGTATCACGGTTTCTGCAAAAACATTAAGCAGCACAAGCACAGAATAAAAAAATAAAAAGGTAACTTACTTTTCATCTCATCATTCTGACTTTTTTGAGGTAATATGCCACAATTCTGACTTTTTTTCTAACAATTGTGACATATAAACTCGCACGTGTGAGAAAAAAGTCATGCTTGACTACAACTTTTTAAGAGAACTTTAAATTAAATAATAAACTAAACTAACATAAAAAATAAGAACCTAAAATAAAATAAATAAAATAGAATAAAAAAAATTTTTTTTTTTTTTTTTTCAGAATTCCGAGTTTATATCTCACAAGTCAGAATAGTGAGATAAAAACTGTTTTTTTTTATTCCGTTGCAGAAATAAGCCTCCATAGTTTTCAACACTGATAATAATCAGAAATGTGTCTTGAGCAGCAAATCAGCATATTAGAATGATTTCTGAAGACCATGTGACACTGAAGACTGGAGTAATGATGCTGAAATTCAGCTTTACATCACAGGAATAAATTACATTTTAACAGATATTTAAATAAAATACAGCTATTTTGATTTGTAATAATATTTCACAATTTTACTAAATTTTTGATCAAATAAATGCAGCCTTGGTGAGCAGAAGAGACTTCTTTTAAAAATATTAAGCATTCTAACTGAACGCTAGTGTGTGTAGGCAGTACGTAAGCATCCCAGTGGAGGAAGGCTTTACTCTTTGAGCCTGTCAGTCTGTATTGGCTAGTGCTGTCGAGCTCAAAGTGACAGTGACATTTGAAACAGCCGCAGGAGGCGACGGGTTCAGATGAGCACAGAAAGAGCGCAGAGGTACCTGAGATGGCCACGAGCTTCGCCTCATGAAGGGACAGCAGCTGTGCTTCACTCTCGCTGACCTTCCGGCGCAGACTAGAGCCCAGTCTCTGACCCATCACCACCTGAACCACGAGAAACAGAGATTATAAACCTGCAGGAAAAGAGCAGTCACTCAACTTACTGAGGTTAAAGCGAGTTAAAATAAACTTAAATGTGACACATTTTTCATTTCCTCCATCATTAGGTCATCACATTTCACATCATCTCTCATCTTCAGATTGAGACATGAATACTGAATGCTAATGCACGACAGCTGTTAATATTTAGATGTTTATTCATGTAGAAAACTAAATCTTAAAAAGACTAAGGGCACGTAGAGGTTACATAGAGGTTTTAGGCTCTTAAATAACATGAAAATAATATCGAAAATAAAATATAAATTTATTATAGCTCAAATAAAATAAAAATCTTTTTTTAAAGAGAATAACTTATATAAAATAAAATAAAAAACACGTAAATACATATTACATTTGTGCCACAAACGTTTTTTGTCAAGAGAACATTGTAAATAAAATAAAAATCTTAAATACAACATACATTTGTGCCACATAAACATTTTTAAGATAATATCTTACAGAAAGGAAAAAAAAGGAAAGAAAACAAAAATAAATACAACACATTTGTGCCACAAACTTTTTAAAGAGAATATCTTACATAAAATAATAGAGTAACAGAAAAATCTTAAATACAAGATAAATTTGTGCCACATAAACTTTTTGTTAAGAGAACCTTCAAAATAAAATAAAATAAAATTCTTAAATACAACATACATTTGTTCCACATAAATGTTTTTAAGACAATATCTTACACAAAATAAAATAAAAAAAATGTTTTTGCCACAAACTTTTTTTTAAGAAAATCTTAAAAATAAAATAAAATAAAATAAAAATCTTAAATACAATGTACATTTTTGCCACATAGACTTTTTTGTTAAGAGAATATTAAACATAAATAAAATAAAATCTTAAATACGACATACATTTGTGTCACAAATTTTTTAAAGAAAATCTTAAAAATAAAATAAAATAAAAATCTTAAATACAATGTACATTTGTGCCACAGAGACTTTTTTGTTAAGAGAATATCAAAAAATAAATAAAATAAAAATCTTAAATACGACATCTGTGCCAAACTTTTTTAAAGAAAATCTTAAAAATAAAATAAAATAGATTTTATTTTTAAGAAAATCTTAATAAAATAATATAAAATTTAAAAAAATAAAAAATAAAATCAAATAAAATAATAAAATATAAAATAAAATAAAATAAAATATAAAATAAAATAAAATACTGAGCACTGAGCATTCAGGAAGCCAGTAATTATGGGCCAGATGCCACAGCAGACGACACACTGGCCCTCTCGATCTGAAGGCGGTTGTGCGCTGCAGCCGGCTCTGCCATCAGATAATGGTGCATCAGAGGGCAAAGTCACACTGTGCCATTTTTCAGGCAGCTCATCTCCTCTTAGCTCCACCCGCGGTGAAAACACACAGCGATCCCGGACACCAGTTCACACACACACACACACACACACACACACACACAGATAAATGACTGTGTGTCCAGTTTCCCATGCTGCTCACAGGAGGAAAGCAGCTCAATGACTGTCGTGGGAGAGCGACACATGCTGACTAACTCACACACACCACAATGCACTGCAACAGGAACTGGAGACTCACGTCCAGAGTATATTTGGCTTAAAAGCACGAGTGTTTTATAATGAATGCTGACTGAAGGTGTTTTAGATTATATGGTGGTCAGTGGTTTAGTCATTCTGAATGGATCTGTACATATACAGTCAGGTCAAGGCAGCAGGTTTAGTGGTCTTTTGGCATCTCCCTGTGGTCCTGTTTGGTATCCCAGCTTGACTTGTGCTAATTTTTATTAAAAGTGCTCTAAACAATTCTTTTTTTATTTCTTTCTTTCTTGTGGCACTATATAAATACATTGGGAATTATGAAAATTTTTTATTTATTTTTTTGGAGGGGGGTTCTTTTTTTCCACTTCAAGCACTGACTATACATGCTTTTTAAAATCATTACAAGCGATGTCGAAATTCGAAAAAGACTCTTTTGATCTGGTTTTTGCTTGTGAATCGCTTGAACTGAATGATCGTTTGAATCAATTTGGATGATGAGTTTGAATCGGATCGGTTCCAGCGTAAATGATTCAAACTGAATCGGTTCGTCTGTTCCTCCGCTTTTCTCGTCTTCAGTCATGTTTACACGACACTGTCAGCACTACTACTGGCGTAGCGGAGTAGTTTTATGACATTAACTGAAATAAGAGAAAAAAGTATGATATTTACAAATAAAACATCCATATTTCCATTCCAAAGATAACATCCAACACAAATCTACGAACATATTCAGGTGATGAAACCGGTTTACTGCGAACTAGTGAAAACACTCTATTAATATGACAAGCTGCAGCTCAAAATACTTCTGTCATGACAACTCTCGGACGGATTGGCATGGTAATGTACATGACAATGTTAATGTATTTGGTCTTGGCGGAATAGATCTGCTACACTGCTGCGGCAGAGCAAGTACCGAGACTTGCTACTGCCAATACATCCACAACATGCTGCTGTTAGTATGTAAGAAATATTGCTGCTGCAAATATAACATACATGAAATAACCCCCTAGCATATATGAATCACCTCGTAGCAGATCTATACAGGTGGAGCTGGGGAAGGTGGAGGGTTTCTGAAGCAAGCTCCTACTGCTATGGCAAGCCCTAGTCATATATTTGAATGTTGAGCAGCGAGCTCATTGGCTACCGATACAGGAGAGAACCAATCAGCTGTGCCATGTGATAATGATGTCATTAGGTCAGATTGAGATTGAGCGCCATCTAGAGTTTCATGCCAGAACTCTGAATATGTCAGATGGAAACATTGTGCATTATGATCGAATTTGTAGCTTAATTGACTATATTTGAAATAGTTTGAGCACTGCTCAGATGCTGACAGTTCAATAGGAAATCAGCTGAAATCATCCAGTCTCTCATACCATTGAAGTGAATGTTCAGTTTATCAGTATATATTGTAATAAATATTTGAGAAATTATTGTTGTATCTGATTGTATTAGTCTACAGAGTGATAGTCACTGTGAGAAAAGAGCAAATGGAGCAGCAGATGAACACAAAACAGCAGAACAACATAAAGTTAAAGAGAGTAAACTTTATCATTCAGTTGAACTGTGCTCGTATGTTTGAAACACTTCTGCTCTCTTATCTGTTCTTACTCCACACATCTATTAAATGTTCGCAGTTTTCTGGTGTATTTTCTTCAACTTCTCAGGTAATATCAGTGGTATGACCTATTTCAGATGTGGCCGAAATTACAACAACAGTGGTTACATACACATATATTTAATTGTCTGATCAAAATTATTGCTAGGGACAATTTAGTAGTCGCTGGATTTTGGTAGGGACATGTCGTCTCTATGAAATTCTACACCCTTGTTTATTAGTTTCATTGTTTTTAATATGTCTGTACAGTTTTTATTCATTTTTATTTCCGTTTTAGCATTTTAGTACATAAAGTTAAATTAATGAAAATGAGAAATGTTGCCTTGGAAACTAGTTGAAATAATACGTTTTTTATATTTTATTTTATTTCCGTTAACATTTATTCTATTTCAAGTAACGAAGATGTTTTTAAGTTTTTACTTTTAGTCTGTTCTCAAGATAACAATAAAATGTGACTTATATACTGATGCGTTATGTAAGCATTTGTTTCCCTCAACAATGCAATTTTGACCTGGTGCGATTTATTTTCCAGAAATTAAGTTATATGCTGCTAAAATAAATTACAAATTACACAATGATTGATGTTTGTAAATGTTAGAATGCTACATTGTTGTCATATGACCTTATTATGTTGCATGTCCAGTTATCAGAATGGATATTTCACATTTTTAGTTGAATTTTATTAAATAAAAAATAATTTTGGCCAGTATAATCAAATTAGTAGTTAAAAATAATGTCTAAGATCATTTACGGTTCATTAATCAAACTGGAAATGGAAAAAAAAAAACTGGAAAGTTGAGTGCATTGCATTGTGTGAAGTTCTACTAACATTACTGTTCAGGTAAGTAATAGCCAACAAAATAAATCTAAAAGTAATCAAATGTAAATGAACACTGCATACTTTTCAGTGTATGTATTGATAGATTAATGCTTATTAAAGCTATAACGTTATTCAGATTAAGAGCAGATTTGCATTTTGATGGCCCAAGCGCCAGTCTGTCACTTTAAGACAATATATTGACACTAGGGATGCCCCGATATGAACATTTTGGCCGATACCGATAACCGATAATTCTTTATTTTTGAAAGCCGATAACCGATATGTTGGCCGATAAATATATATCCAAATGTTTATATACTTTTTCAGAGCCTGATTACAAAAAAGGTGTCATCATTAAAAGCCACATCCCAAACACTTCAACATAAGCAGCCTAGTTTGAACGGTGTACGTTTTAAAAATAATT